AAAAACGAACCCGTCCCCCAAACAAAACCTTCACAAACAAATAGACAAAACATCAAAGTTTACCTATGATGAGAAACTGAAAACTGAATTCAACCTCCAGAATAAACTTAAATGTTATTCGGCCCTAAATAGAACCACACAGTTGGCAAAATTATTTATCATTAAAACAATTAAAATAAAAGCACATTCTTTAGAAATAGAAGGTGAAGGTTTATCTAGAAATAGAAAAAGGCAAACATAAAAAATCCTGGACTCCTAAAGAGCAGAGAATATGTAAACAGTGTGACACATACAAAATAGAGGATGAAACACACTTCCTTCTGTTTTGCCCCAAATACACCACGACTAGAGAAATTTTTTATTTAAAACTTTACCATGTACTCGGAGAGGACAAATTGACATCTAGACTAGCTGCAAAATATGTATACACCCTACACACCATAAGAAATTGTTAATTTAAAGATAGATAGAGAGAGAGAAAGAGAGAGAGAGAGAGAGATTTTTTAAAAAAAGAACAAACAAAATAATTGAAGCAATTACAAATGTTTATTGAGTTATTTAAATGTAAAAAATGTAACCCCCAAGAACACCCCCACACAAAAAAACAATAACTATTTAAAAATTAAAAAAATTGAACACCAAGGAACACCCCCACACATACAACCCTCCCCCCCCACTCCCAATCGAACAAAATAAAATTAAACTATTTTTTTAAAAAACATAACAAATCTAAACTTGTTTTTTAACTAACTTTTGCAGTCTCATGCGTTCCCTCTTTTCAAAAATTTTGGTGTGCCTTTCTTTAATGTACGTCTTCATTTTCTTCCTCAGGTAGCTGTCTGGCACAAAGTCCGCTGTCCACACTCCCCGTGTAACTCCATCCGCCTTCAAATCTTCTAAGTGACTGTCCAGGTTACTTGGGTCTGTTGGAAATAACAGGTATGTATTTGCGATTACTGCTGTTTTGTAAAAAGTGTTAAGATTTTTTATTAATATTTAAAGGGGTTCTGTTCTCACCAACAACTGTCAGATGATCCATCATGAAGTTGAAAAACGCCTGTTGTCTCGGCGTCATTATGTCATCAGGATCGGGGTTCTCGGGCCAAAACTCCGTCAAGTGGACGTCAAGCTCTTCCTCTTCTCTTTTCCTTTTCTGCGCGCTGTTGTCATCTCCCGAAGTTGAGGGCATGTCTAGGACTTCAGGCCCAATGTTCCTTTCCAGCCTCTCCCTCAGTTCCTGCAGCTGTTGCTCTTGGTCCGCAACAAGCGTTTTAAGCGAGGCCAGGTCTGCCTTCAAGGCAGCCACGTCTCCCTCCATTGCTTTCTCTGCTGCTTCCTGGAGGACCCTGGTGTCCTCCTGTAGCTTGGAGATCTCCTCGATGGCAAAGGTTTCCAACGTCTTCAGTTTGACTTCCACTGTTTCCTCCAGGGAAAGGTCCAGCTCTTCATCGGAGAAGTACATCTTGTCATATAAATGGTGAAAAGAAAGTTAAAATGATGTGCATTGCTTGTAAATGGAAGTCAAGCTGAATTTTAAGCATGATTCATTTTCAATAGCTGCATTTGCACTGTGCGAACCAGGGCTTTTTTATACAATAAAGATTATTGCGGTCTATCGACCTTTATTATTTCTCGCAACAGCCATGCATTTAAAAGGGAAACATAAGGGTGATCATACGCAAAAAGACCCCTAGCCTATAAGGCCAGATGTTTTCTTTCCCTTCTTTATTTTATTTGTTTTTTTTTGTTTGGCGCATGTACTCGTGTGCGATCCGAAAACTAGTTTCCGCCTCTCACTCCGCCCCGAAGGCCCAGCTGTCCCTCTTTGGGGCAAAGGTATTCGGCGGGCCGCTGGCCCCGAGAGAGCCCTGATTCGGCCCGATTAGGCCCCGGAAGTTACAGTGTAAACGCAACTGGCCTTGACTCGCTTGCTTTAGGCACGACAGTAGAAACGTGGCTAGTTTCATGCAATCTTTCAGATACTCTAGTGTCAAGATCCATAAGAGAAGAGACTATTGTTGTTGTTGTTGATGTTGTTGTTGTTGTTGCTGCTGCTGCTGCTGTTATTGTCATGATAGTCATCACTTTGGTCGACATACAATACTATTCCAATGTAGCATAAAAATGATGTCATTTTATTCGTCTCAATAAAAGGATCAACAGTGAAAGTAAATGCATTTGTAATGTTAAAACATTAACATGCATCCCGACGCCCTGCGTTCTTTATACTTTTCTGGTACCATTCACCGACGACATCAAATTATTATACATAGTCAGCTTTGATTGTTTAAAATAAGTTAATGCTAATAAATAGCGAATAGCATGGACGCAGTGCAATATTTACTAAGCAAAACCGTAAAAGGGTGGGGAGTAACAGGGGTCAGGAGTGACTTTTTTGTTTTTTGTAGTAACTGAGGCATTACTACTTTCATGGTGAACAACAGACACTAGTAGGATTTTAAACATGCTTATTAACTGTGTTTCTAAAATTACAGACATTTTAAGAAATACATTTTATTAATGTTTTGCAATTGTGTACATAATAGGTATTGATTGAGCATTTTGGACTAGAAACAAAACAAACAACAAAAATGCACGAAAGAAAATGTGTTGTTGGTTTTTTTTTCTCAGTGTTTGTTTCACGTTTAAAGGACATAAAACGAGAGTTTTAAAACTTGCTCCTGAATGGGATGGAGGAAGGAAGTAAGATGAGAAAGCTAATGTGTCAAATGTCTACATCACTATTTTATTTTTTAAACAACATTTTAAGTGTATTAAGATGTTCCCTGATACTTGGGCAATTTGTTTCTTACATTTGCAAATCTGGACACATTTTCAATAAACGTAATATAATAAAAATTATAAATATAAAATTGCACAGACATATAAAGATATATAATCATCTCACTCATGCCTTGCTGTTTGTGCAATTTATTCTGCTTTCTTATTATTCTTATTCAAGTTTGTATAAAAATGAGTTTTAAGTCTTTACACTTCTGCAATTTTGTATTTATATATTTAGTTCATCAATATTATTTGAATGTTTAATAAAAAAAATGTTTCAAGATGTTACTTTAGAATTCAGCAGTTATTTTTACAATTTAGACTTGTATATTTTAGGTAATGTCAGGTATTTGTAAGATGTTTTTTCTTGCTATATCTTAAATTGGTTTGTATATTCAGGTTTATATAAAATTTAGCTGTTTTCGGATGTGTCTTGTACAATTTTTCAATTCAAGTCTATTGGGAAAACATGGTTGTTTTAAAAACTTTTGTGTATGTGTGCAAGTTCAGATTTTTTTCTTTTAAATGTGTGTCTTTTTATTGTACAGTTTTATTGTTTTTATATTGATGTTCTTGTGCACTACTAAAATAGTTTCAGCAAATTTTAGTATTATTTGTTTCCTGCAATCAATAAAACTGCATCATTATTATTTATTCTGTCCTTTGTTTGATTATTTTCGTTTTAGGATAGGTTTGCATTTTTTTTCCAAAGGGTAAACGCAGTGCCTACACTTTGTGTATACATCATAGCCTGCGTTTGCTGTTACATAAATTCAAATGGTTGTAATACCATATATCAAGTACCAATGTAATACGAAAAGTTTTTCATATATCAAGGTTTAAAAAGACTGAGTCGCGCAAGGCCGAGGGTTTCCGTCAGGCGAAAATATAACCGGAACTGGCCCGAACGAATTTTGCTATTTGGGTTGCAGCTTATTAACGTGTAATAACACAAAGGTTTACGGTTCTCTGTCGTTTGCAAAGTCGACACAAACAAACAAACAAACACAAGCGCAAAGTTGCAGCCGCTAACGTCACTGAGCTAAAAATGGCGATCGGACAATCAGACAATTGTTGTCTCTCAGGTAAAAAAAAAAAAACGACATATACAGAGACAGGTGGAAAGACTCGATCGTCTGCGGCTATTTCGTCAACACAGAAAATCAACTATTTCTCTATTCGAATCATGTCCTAATCCTGTTTAATTTATATGGCGTTTTTGCAATGTAAATTGTGTCAAAGCAGCTTAACACACACCTTCTACAACAGTCCAGATTTCAGAGTTCAAGTTCAGTTTAGTTCAGTGCTGTTTACATTTCACCTGGTCTGCTCTTTCGTTTCACATTAGTATTATTATTATTATTGTCATTATTATTGTCATAATTATGGCTTACCGTATGATTCTCTGTTCGTGCACTGTTAAAATCTCCGAAACAATGGCCAACACGCCACGCCCTACCAGGCTTTGCGAGCCAATCAAGTTACAGTTTGACGGCTACATTAACTTGCTTTATTATTGGTTTGTTTTCATTTATTATTTATTTATTTGTTAATATCATGTTTATTTATTTTTTGATTTATTTATTTATGTATAATTATTTATTCATTGATTTAGTTAGTTAGCTATATATTTTGTAGACTAGTTTGCTTGTTTTTAAAAGAAACTCACCTTATTTCAACTATATATATATATATATATATATATATATATATATATATATATATATATATATATATTCTTTCTTCTGAAAACAAGATAGTTTTTCTTCACTTGCCTAAAACCCGCTTCCAGCTTTTATTTATTCATTCGTTGTATATAGAGACAAGACGAAAACGCTGGAAAATGTCTTGTTTTTCTCAGTGTTTTCTACTATATATATATATATATATATATATATATATATATATATATATATATATATATATATATATATATATATATATATATATATATATATATATATATATATATATATATATATATATATATATATATATATATATATATATATATACATATATATATATATATATATATATATATATATATATATATATATATATATATATATATATATATATATATATATATATATATATATATATATATATATATATATATATATATATATATATATATATATATATATATATATATATATATATATATATATATATATATATATATATATATATATATATATATATATATATATATATATATATATATATATATATATATATATATATATATATATATATATATATATTTATATATATATATATATATATATATATATATATATATATATATATATATATATATATATATATATATATATATATATATATATATATATATATATATATATATATATATATATATATATATATATATATATATATATATATATATATATATATATATATATATATATATATATATATATATATATATATATATATACATATATATATATATATATATATATTTTTTTTTTTTTTTTTATAACATTTTTATAAAATGTCAGACACACTGTGACAGTATCAGACAGATATTAATTTGCTCTTTTAAACATCATATCTAATAACACATAGGTAAATGCAAATTAGCGCCCTCTATGCTGTTCGAACCTGCTATGGTACTGCACTTTTTAGCCATTTCGAACACATGCCATATCCCCTTTTGTACACTAGAGGGGGCAATTTAATCAACATTTCCAGTGGGGGTTATTATCAGGGATATGTAACTGCACAGATATAATTCAATAAAGGACACTTACTGCATGGATGGATGGATGGATGGATGGATGGATGGATGGATGGATGGATGGATGGATGGATGGATGAACAGACATACAGACAGGTAGAGATGCATGGAGATGGACATAGATAAATGGTGATAGATAGTGCTAATAATATTGACCTTAAAATTTTATATATATATATATATATATATATATATATATATATATATATATATATATATATAAAAAAAAATATAAAAAAAAATATATATAAAAATATATATATATATATATATATATATATATATATGTGTGCATATATATAAATATAAATATATATATATATAGATATATATAGAGACACACACGCACACACACACACACACACAAACAAA